ATATTATTGTGTGTGTGTGTGTGTGTGTGTGTGTGTGTGTGTGTGTGTGTGTGTGTGTGTAAAACGGTACAGCTGAACACTTCTAGGACCTCAAATAGGAATTCTCAAAGTCACATAGTTCTAAAACAAGCTTAAATCTTTACCTGATGGAAAAATCTTTTCATTCTTGGTCAAGTGTTCTACAGATGATTACGGTATGTTTACTTCTTACCAGACCAAGATAATCTTGTAACAAAAACAAAAACCAAACAAACAAAAAATCCAAACAGTTGAAGAATATGACCTTAGGAAACTGATCAGTCAAAGTTTGTATAAAATGTTTCAAAGAGCTGAAGACTGGTTAAAAACCTCAGACTGCAGAAGTGCGCACACATCTGATCCAGAGCATAGGAGGATTTGAGCTGTAGTGCTGTTCTAGTTTGTTTTAAGACTACGGGACTACACTTCTATTGGATTATCATAAATAAAACTATGCATCTACTTGTAACTGGAAACTCACTTATAACAGTAAAATTATGATTTTCTTTAAACAAAGGTTTCAAGTGTTTGAAGAATCAAATTAGTTCTAATCTGCCAAATGGAATAAGCATTTTAAAAAAGCCTGTATTTATATTAATGAATTTCATTAAAATATTTAAGAGGCTGTTTTTCCTTGTCAGAAGCAAATGGGTTTGGGATTTTTAAACTAATTTGAAGGCATAATCAACATCTCAAGTTAAAAAAATCAACGCTGCATATAATCCTGAAGCCCAGAACCATGTACTGACTAGACTTAATTATACTTATTCCAAGTCTTGATTTTTTAAAAATTATTATTTACCTTTTTGTTTATTTCCAAAGGCCATTTACAAGATGGTGGGTACTGTGATAATGATGAAAATGAATGAGGATGGTCTCACGCCAGAGCAACGAGTAGACAAGATCTTCAGCAAGATGGATAAGAACAAAGATGACCAGATCACACTGGATGAATTCAAAGAAGCTGCAAAGAGTGATCCTTCCATTGTATTACTCCTGCAGTGTGACATTCAAAAATGAGCTAATGTAAAATGCATTATGGACTGCACAGAAGTTTAGATGTTCCATTCAGTTTGCAGCTATTTCCACACACACACAAATTGCTTGGACTACCTATAAATGGACTTGCTTCTTGTGTTTGAAACACTCGTGTGCATGAGAATGTCATTTGCTAAAGAATTTTAAAAGTATATATTATAAAAATAAACTGCCACAATGTGATGTGTGCAATGTCATTTCATAATAATCCTATTCCTCTGAAGCCTGTGCAGCAGTACCGTGCTGCAGTGAAATACTATTGATTGTTCGTTTTACTGATGCTAGCTATGTGTCTCCTAGCCTGAGTAATGTTAGTGACACTGACTTCCCATGGTAATGTAACTGTTGATTATAAACCATGTCACCATTCTGCTGTAAAGTAGTACTGGACAGACAGAGGCGAAAGTTCCTCAGTTCATGAGTCTGATCCACACATGTGCTTGTATTGTCAGTGAATATAAATGTAATTCATTTGCATGCCTTTTAGGTTTGCCTTAATTCTTACCTCATTTGCATTCTTTCAATCTGGAAAGAGCTATGTCAGAGGAATGCAGTATGAACAAAGTTAAGTAAATCCTGCTAAAATGTTCCCTTAATTAAAAAGTATATATACATTTAAAATATTGTATTAGTGGAAGTTTAAAAAAGTTTTATTGGAAGTATATTGATTTCTGCCTGAATTTTCAAAAGCTTCCAAAGAGGTTGCAATATATGTCCCAAAATAAATTTATAACATTTGACTTTTCCCCCCTAATTCTTATTTCACATCTTTAGCATGTTGCTACTGAGAGAAAAAAAATTAATTCGGTCACTACAAGAATCTGCTACTACAATACTGGAAAAATACACATTTCGTTATGAAAACAGTGTAAATGGAACTGGAAGTAGAACTTAATTTTTGTCCAAAGTGCCTTATTTGATGAATTGTAATCAAATGCTGTGGTTCTAATATGTATCTGTAGGGACAGATTCTCAACTCTACCCATCAGAGAGAAAACAGCCGGTAAAAATACAAAGGCACTCACCCTCAACATTCTTCCTTATCCAGTGGTATTCTAGTATCTGATCTCCCTAATATGGCACTGGCAGCAAATCCTACTTTTGCAGAAGTAGTCACTGCTACAGTATATTGCACAGAAGAAAAAGCAGCTAGGGAATAGGACAGTGGGACTTCTCAGAGCATTGGCAGAAGAGCTGTGATATGACTGTAAACGTGCAACTCCTCTCTCCTGGTACCTCCTTCAGAAAAATCACTGAATATTAGAGACCATGTTCTGCTCCCAAAAGGACCTTGATTCCTCTATATTAAATGCCTTGGATCTATCACCATTGTTGTTACTCCATATAGTCCTATTAAATCAAGTCTGATATTCAAAACATTCAGGTCAAGATTCTTTCTAGGTAGCTTAAAATAAGTTCCTCAGAAGTCTTGATTATGGAGGAGAAAATGGACACAACTGACACCCAAGTAAGGTTCTCACTCAAAATTAACTCTTCAGAGGGCAGCAACAACAACAGAGTTATTAGAAAGGAGTTTAAGATTCAATGGCTGCAAGCACTGTAAGGTGAGCATTTTCAAGGCCTACCAGCCACTAATTCAAGACTCAAACTGGAAGAAAAGGGGTTGCTTTACTGCCTGACAATTTTTAAAGTATTGCATCATTTCACCCAGAACCCGAAAGCATCATTTTAGATTTCTGGCCAGCCAGAATGTCAATTCTCTTTTGTTTAAATAGCTTTCTAAGCTGCTTCTAGATCAAAGCACCACCCATTCTCTTGACCGAAAGCTGGCCTAACTCTCCCTATTTTATCCCACATAGCATTATAACATCGAGATAAAATATTAAAAGCAAAGAGGATATAGAAAGTCTATGAGATAGTAGATAAGCAACTCAGCCCATTACATGACTGGAATTAGCTGGAATGACTTGAGGAACTGCAGATAAACATTTCACTTGTCCAGCTCACTAAGACCCTCTTAAGTTTATTAGCCTTTGACTTCCTTTAAAATGCTTTACAGGATTATGGCAGAAAAATACAATGCATGCACTGTGGCCATATTTGCCAGTAGGGGGAAGACAGCAAAGCTCTAGTGCCTTAAAATTACTTTTGTTATCTTTTAAAGTAGCAACACAGTTCTGCCCGTCTCCAAATCATGCCTCAAAAAACAAGACAAATCATCCCTGCATTTCTAGAGTGAAAAAGCAAGCTGGGTTTTAAGCTTCAAGTCAGAGTAAACATCTCTAAACAAGTCAATAAATAAGCAGCAAGGCAGGAAGCATTTTTTGACATGTCCATATGTTGCAGATTCTTCACCATAAAACCTTCCCGTGAAGCACACTAATAATTGAATCCTCTTTTGATCAGAATTCATACAGTTGGTCCACCCTCATCCTGACTACAGGCATGTTGCCATTTAATTTGCCTGTGCACACTAAGCAGCCAAAGGCAGAAATTTCAACTACTATTTTGCACCAGAATTTCACTAGGGCACTGCTATTAGAACCCTCACTAAATTTATAAAGTGGTATAATTCATGTTAGTTTAAAAATAATCAAGTGCTTATTAAACGCTAAGCTAGTAATTATATATTGAGTACTTCCTTGAATTAATGCTCATATCAATCACTGCTTTATTTACTGTGACTTGCAGTAGGTCTTCTCCATTTCACTTAGGGCCTCACATTAAAGTAAATGAAAAAGCTCCAACAGATTTCAGTGGCAATTAGCTCAAGACATTAAAGCACTGCTGTACAAAATGGCCATTGGCTTGAATATAAACGTCAGAAAGGTAATTATGGCAGCATTAAGATTGTCTTTTTGTAGCCCAACAGCCATATCACAGGCGTAAGTAAATCCATATCTCCAAGAATAGGAGAACACGAGAACCAAGAAGGCTCATTTAAGATCATTACAAGAACAAGGTGATTCAGCTATTGTATGAACAACTGATTTATTCAGGGCAAATCAACTTCAAAAGAAAACAGATGCCTATGAAGTCCTGTCAGTCCCACATGTTTATACTTTACAGGAACTGATAAATTCAGAAGAAATACATCATGTGATTTGAACAGAAAGCCCAAAGAAATGTTTGCTGTTGCTTTAAATAGTTTAAGAAAAGTTTATCTATTTCTGGAAACTGCTAGAAAACTTGGGATCAAGTATAAAAGCTAGAAGGATATTTAGTGAGAGCTGCAGTAATTTAACTCTCTAGCCCTCTTCCTCCCAGCAGTTATCTAAAAAGGCAGAAATGAAGGATATATATATTTAAGATGAAGCAGACTTTTCCTTTGGCCTATACACACTTTCTATGCACTTTATTCTCTTCGATCTTGAAGAAAGTCAGTGGGAACAAATGCCATGTCATTCTTTTGGTTCATATTTTGCCAGGGCCTTAGAGGACTTCTTCCAGTGGCAGTAGATGTCAGTAAATCTTAATAAATTTACCACATAGTTTAAGAGCATGTAGTGAGAGCAAGGTTCCACATCAATCTAAAACGAAGCTACTGGTTAGCTCATGAAAGAGAACAAAGAACCAGGTGTATTATAGAGGAAAACCATAGTGTTTGGCATCAAGTATGCACAGTTTGTGTTCTCCCACTTCACATGAATCTAGACATGTAAACACTGAGCATCAACATCTCGCCCTACTGCAACTGAAGAAAACCTGGACCGTTGCAGTCAGTTAAAATAGTAAAATTGAAAAGGAAGCTTTTCTAGACAAATTTAAAATTTGGCATCAAAAAGGAAAAAAAACATCTTTTAATTAAAACAGCTGGTTATTTGAAAGAACTGAGTTATTCCTGAGCCACAACAACTTCAAAAGGATGCAGGCAGAATGGCTGAATTTTAAACTGAGTTGCAGAAATGCTCCTAATAACTTTAAATTCCTAAGGGGCCAGAGAGTTTACTTGGAATAATTTGAAAAATCAAATTAACAAACGAAGAAAAATAGTCTTTCCCCTATTTTTCATGATCAGAAGCTATTAAAACATTTTTATTTTTAAAAGCAGGACCTCCCACTACATTGTACAATAGCAAAAATGAAGCAGTAAGGTTATTGTATAACATACCTGCATGCGTTAACACTATACTACTGTTCCTAGGTATAGTACAAAATCAGAAGCAGAACTGTACAACAGCAAACAGAAGTAAACTACTGTGACATTTACTATACATGCTACTGCACATGGACCTTGATCCCGATATGCATTGTAGTAAACATGTTATAACTGTATTTAATTTTACATATTTTTGCACATGCTACCTAGTAAATATCATTTAAAAATATCTGATATTTCATGTCTCTTAGGCTAGGTTTTTATACTGGTGACCATCACCATACTATCAGAGTGCCATGTCTTCCAGTGTTGTCTATTCTCTGGCATTGGCAGCTCTGTGTGGAGTATGCTTGTTTCCTTTATGTTTTGTTTGACTATAGATCTAAATTGTTAGATATGCATGCATATTTGCACAAGACATTACATACATGCTTTGTTTAAATAGGATCAGGCACCTAACTTCCTAAAAGGCAATATTTGCTAGTTGTATTACGCTGATGTCCTAAGAGCCTCAAATGGCTGATAAAGAGAACCACTTGGGAAGAGTGAGAGGGTAGTTTTCCAGTCAAAGATCATTTTGCCAACAAATTCTGCACTTTTTAGTCAAAAGAACATACATTGAAAAGTAAGATCTTGTCATAGACAGAGGAACTCCAGTTCCATTGGAAAATGGAACACGTATGTTTCAAGTGATTTTGACAAATACAGTAAAAGAGTTCAAACAAATGTGGCAGGTAAGTTAGGAAGAGCTTGGTTTCCTCCCATTTGGGCAACAACTTGCCTGGTTTAGGAAACTGAGACCTTACAGGAATTAAACTAACATGTTTTCTCCCATTCTGTCATTCTGTAGCACCAAGAAAGTATGTAAAAAACAAAGCAGCAGAGAACTCTCCAGGAGTAGGATGACAGCTATCTGTAGTCAGACACGACGCATGAGGGCTACAAGGGGTCACGTCCCCCTGCCCTTACCCCCCCTCGATTTGCTGCTTAGCTTGTACTGAGCATGCTTACACAGACTGTGCATGCTCAATAACACTGCTGAAGCTGGCTGCCATCACTCGGTCCCCCTCTCCTCCCCCCGCCCACTATCGGCAGACACAGGTTGTCCTGCCTTTAGTGCAAGATTTTTTGGTATGGGTATTTCTGATATTACACCATGCAAATTTTACTTTTTGATTGAATGTATTAACTAATAATACCTCTAACATTATATAATGTTGGGTGAGAAGACAGCTTTAAAAAGATCTGTGCAAAAGTTTCAGAAAACGGGTTACTCGCCTTCTCGTAACTCTTGTTCTTCGAGATGTGTTGTTCATGTCCATTCCAATCAAGTATGTGCGCGTGTGCGTGCACAGCGGCCGGAAGATTTTTTCCCCTAGCAGTATCTGTCGGGTCGGTCCAGGCACCCCCTGGAGTGGTGCCATCCTGGCATTCAATATAGGGCCCTAGCGACCCGTCACCCCCTCAGTTCCTTCTTGCCGGCTACAGAGGGGAGGAGAGTGGGTAACAGAATGGACATGAACAGCACATCTCGAAGGTGAGTAACCGTTTTGTCTTCTTCAAGTGCTTGTTCATGTCTATTCCAATCAGGAGACTCCCAAGCCCAAGTTCAGGAGGCAGGGTCGGAGCTGTTCACTGCTCTACCGAAGACCGCATCGTCTTTGACCTGCTGGGTAATCGCATAATGCACAGTGAAAGTATGTCTGGAGGACCACATTGCCGCTCTGCATATTTCCTGGGTCGGGACTTGCAACAGGAACGCTGCTGAAAAAGCTTGCACCCTAGTGGAGTGTGCTGTGAGCACAGGGGCAGGCACCTCTGCCAAGTTATAACATTCACGGATGCAGGATGCGATCCATGAGAAAGTTCGTTAGGAAAAGACTGGAAAACCCTTCACCCTGTCTGTCACGGTCACAAACAGTTGAATGGACTTCCTAAACAGTTTTGTTCTTTCAAAGTAAAAGGCTAGCGCTCTGTGGACAGCTAATGAGTGAAGCCTCTTCTCTCTGCTGCTCGAGTGCGGCTTAGGATAGGACACTGGGAGGAAGATGTCCTGGTTGATGTGAAACTGGGAGACAACCTTTGGGAGAAAAGCTGGATGTGGCCTGAGCTGAATCTTGTCCTTAGAGAACACGATGTAAGGGGGCTCTGATGTTAGCACTTTGAGCTCAGACACTCTCCTGGCTGAGGTTATCGCTACCAGAAATGCCACCTTGTATGATAGGTAGAGCAGGGAACAAGTCGCCAGCGATTCACAGGGCGGACCCATCAATTTGGAAAGGACCAGATTGAGGTCCCAGGTTGGGGTCAGTTGCTGGACGTGCAGATATAGCCTGTCGAGATCTCTCAGGAAACGGCTGACCACAGGGTTGGCAAACACCGAACGGCCCTCTGAGCCTGGATGGAATGCAGAAATGGCAGCCAAGTGAACCCTTATTGACAACATGGACAGTCCCTACTGCTTGAGATGGAGAAGGCAGTCTAGTAGGAGTGGTATAGAGGCGAGCATCGGGGATGAGTGATCCTGCGCTGACCAGAATGAGAATCTCTTCCACTTGGGAAGGTAGGTAGCCCTGGTAGAGGGTTTCCTACTGCCAAGGAGAACTTGTGTAACCGGGTCCGAGCAGGAGAGCTTTGTGGGGTTCAGCCATGGAGCTTCCACACTGTGAGGTGCAACGACTCAAGGTTCGGGTGCTGGAGACAGCCATGATCCTGAGTTATTAAGTCCAGGAGGAGCGGCAAGGTGACTGGAGCTTCCACAGATATTTCCAGGAGAAATGTGTACCAGTGTTGGCAGGGCCAGGATGGAGCGAACAATATCACTTAAGCCTCTTCCCTCAGTATCTTGAGGAGCACCTTGTGAATGAGAGGGATGGGTGGGAATGCTTAGAGAAAACGGCCTCCCCATGGGGGGAAGAACACGTCTGCAATGGAGCCCAGGCTGTGATCCAGGAAGGAGCAAAGCTGTTGGCACTTCCTGTTGCGTTGCATGGTGAACAAGTCCATCTGGGGAAAGTCCCAACTTTGGAATATGGAGTTCGTGACATCTGGGCATAGGGACCACTCGTGGCTGTGAAAAGACCTGCTGAGACTGTCCGCCAACTTGTTCTGTACTCCTGGGGTCCAATGCTTGCAGGTGTATCGAATGAGCTACACAAAAGTCCCACAGCGTGAGGGCTTCCTGGACAGGAGAGAGGAGCGTGCACCCCCGTTTGTTGATAAAGAACATCACTACGGTGTTGTCTGTCATAACTGATAAACATCTCCCTGTCAAGTGCACTCGGAAAGTCTGGCATGCCAGACGCACCGCGCTCAGCTCTCGGACACTGATGTGGAGAGCGATTTCTGCCTGAGACCAGAGCCCTTGTTTCCTGAGGTCTCCCAGATGTGCTCCCCAGCCCAAGGCTGACGCGTCCATCACTAGCAAGAGGGATGGCTGAGGAGCGGTGAAAGGGACCCCTGCACACACTACCTGCGGGTTGAGCAAGCACTGGAGGGAGCTGAAGACCGGGTGAGGCAGAGTCACGACTCTGTCCAAACTTCCTGAGCCAGCCAATACACCGAGGCTAGCCACGACTGGAAAGGCCAGAGTCTGAGCCTGGTGTGTTGCACCACATAGGTACAAGAGGACATCTGTCATAGAGCTTCAGGCAATTCCTTGTTGTGGTGGTGGGAAACTGCCTGAGACTTCAAATGATGTCGCCCAGGGCCTGAAACCTCGCTTCTGAGAGGTATGCCCTGGCATGTGTCAAGTCCAGCACCGCCCCTATGAACTCTATCCACTGAACAGGGGACAGAGTCAATTTCCCCACATTCATGATAAGGCTCAATTCGTTGAACGTCATTCTTATGAAGTCGACTTTTGCCTCCACTTGAGCCCTGGAGCGCCCCTTGATCAACCAGTCATTGAGGAATGGGAACACCTGTACCTGGCATCAGCGGAGGAATGCGGCCATGACTGTCATGCACTTGGTAAACACAAAAAGTGCTGCTGACAGGCCGAACAGGAGGACTGTGAACTGGTAGTGTTTGTTGCTCATCACAAACCTGAGGTACCTTCTGTGGGATGGTGTAATTGCTAAATGAAAGCACATGTCCTTCAAGTTGAGGGCAGCATACCAGTCTCCTGGATCCAAGGAAGAGATGATGGAGGCCAAAGAGACCATGCGGAACATCAGTTTCCTCATGAACTTGTTGAGCTCTTGCAGGTCTAGGATGGGCCTGAGACTGCCTTTGGCTTATGGTATTAGGAAATACTGGGAATAGAAACCCCTGCTCTTCAGCTCCTGAGGAACCTCTTCCACTGCTCCTAGCAATAGGAGCGAGCACACCTCCCGTATGAGGAGTTGCTCGTGAGAAGGGTCCCTGAAGAGGGATAGGGAAAGGGGGTGGAAGGGCAGGAGTGCAAAGAATTGGAGGAAGTATCCCCTCTCTACCGTATGGAGCACCTGGAGATTCGATGCGATACGGGCCTACCCAGGATAGAAAGGGGATAGTCGGGACAAGAAGGTAAGGTGGGTTGGATCCAGTCCAAGTTCTGGCGCGCCATCCTCATTTGCACCTTCAAAAGGCCTGCTTCTGGCCGGATGAAGGTTTGGACGGGCCAGAGCCCTGGCCTGAGGACAGCTGCGGCCTCTGCATGTCGCTCCCGTTTCTTCTCCGTGAGCCATCCTGATGGTTCTGTGGTTGGTAGAACCGTGGAAGAGGTTGCAGCCTAAAATGCCTCTCCTGTGTGGCAGGGGTGTGGAGGCCCAGCGATTTGAAGGTGTCTCTCAAGTCTTTTAGGCTATGTAGCCTTTTATCCATCTTTTCGGAAAATAGAGTCACACCCTCAAAGGGGAGATCCTGAATCGTCTGCTGGACCTCGTATGGCAGACCTGATACCTGGAGCAAGGAGCCCCTTCTCATGGCAATCCTGGTAGACATCACACGAGTGGCCACATCAGCCCCATCCAGAGCTGCCTGCAATGAAGCTCAGGAAATAAGCTTGTTCTTCTCCACCAGGTCTGAGAATTCAGCATAGGAGTCCTGCAGCAGCAGCTCTGTGAACTCTGCCATTGCCCTGCATGTATTGTAGCAGTGCCTGCAGACAATGGCCTGCTGATTAGAAATGCGGAGCTGCAAGCCACGAGTGGAGTAGACCTTTCTACCAAAAAGGTCAAGTCATTTTGCCTTCCGATTCTTTGGGGAGGAGCCTTGGTAGCCCTGGCGCTCACATTAGTTAGTAGTGTCCACGACTAGGGAATCTGGTGCAGCCCTCTCTGGCCTCCTCTTATTCTGCAGCACCAGTGATTGAGACCGGTGCCTGCCTGCGGCATGTGAGCCACAAGTGGAGCCAGGACGGTGCCGAGAATCCTTGTCTTTACTCCGCACTGATCCCCGTGCTGATGGTGATGGGGCACTGCGTACCGAGGAAGAGGTACTCGGCAATGGGTCCGCCGACCCGAGGTCGGACTGGGGCCAGAGTTCCGCTTCCATTAGTAGGATCTTCAGGCGCTGATCTCTATCTTTCAGTGTCTTGGGGCGAAACCCCCGGCAGTTCCTACAGCGATCCTTTGGATGGCTCTCCACCAAACACTTCAAACACGAAGTGTGAGGACCACTTCTGGGCATACACTTACCGCAGACCTCACAGGCTTGGAAGCCAGGAGACCATGGCATCTCTAGCGCCAGGATAGCACTGGAGGGGAAACACCTCCAAAGGAAACTTAAGAACTAAGTGAAGTAACTACTCACTACTTAACACTAACTACAAAATTAATGAGAAAGGACAGTTACCTGTTCCGTAACTGGTGTTCTTTGAGATGTGTTGCTCATGTCTATTCTACAGTAGGTGTGCGTGCTCACCATGTGCACCGGTGCCGGAAGTCCTTCCCTCAGCAGTACCCATAGGGGGAGCGCTACTGCGTCTGCTGGAGTGGCGCCTCTATAGCGCACTATAAGGGGACCGCGTGCTCCCTCCACCCTCGGTTCCTTCTTACCAGACCAACTCCAACAGAGGGGAAGGAGGGCAGGATGCGGAATAGACATGAGCAACACATCTCGAAGAACACCAGTTACGGAACAGGTAACTGTCCTTTCTTCTTTGAGTGCTTGGTCATGTGTATTCCACAGTAGGTGATTACAAGCTATGTCTGATGGAGGTGGGTAGGAGTTCACAGATTCCCTGGCTGAAGCACAGCCCTACCGAAAACAGTGTCATCCCTGCCGTGGGAGACGATCGCATAGTGCGACGTGAACGTGTGTACTGAGGACCAGGTAGTGGCTATACAGATGTCCTGAATAGGGACATGGGCCACAAAGGCAGACGACGAGGCCTGAGCCCTTGTCAAGTGAGCCCTTACGATAGGTGGTGCAAGAACCCCTGCTAGGTCATAGCATGTGTGGATGCACGATGTAATCCACCGGGAAAGCCTCTGGGTGGAGATCGGTTGGCCCCTCATGCGCTCGGCCGAAGCCACAAAGAGTTGCAAAGACCTGCGGAATGGCTTAGTCCGATCCAGATAAAAAGGGGGGTCGCTGGTCAGGTCCCTGTGCTCCAAGACCCGCCGAGCTGACGTGATGGCCACGAGGAAGGCTACCTTCCAGGACAGGTGAGACCATGGGCATGTGGCCAGGGGCTTGAACAGGGGCCCCGTGAGGTGGGATAGCACCAAATTTAGATCCCACTGAAGGACAGGGATTCTAGGATAAGACAAGGACTGGTCTAGCCCTTTGAGGAAATGCCTGGTCATGGCATGGGAGAAAACCAAACAGCCCTGGACCGGCGGATGAAATGCCAAAATAGCCGCCAGGTGCACCCTGACAGAGGAAGGGGCCAGGTCTTGAGTCCTAAGGTGAAGAAGGTACTCAAGGATAAGTTGGAGCAGGGCGGACGTTGGGGAAACACCCCGCTCGCCCACCCACCTGGAGAATCTGGACCATTTTGCCAAGTAGGCTCAGCACGTGGATGGCTTCCTACTTTCGAGACGGACACGCCTGACCTCTTCCAAACACCTTCTCTCCTCCACATTTAGCCATTGATCAGCCACGCTGTCAGATGGAGGGTGGCCAGATTGGGGTGGAGGTGGTGGCCCCGGTCCTGGGAGAGTAGATCCAGGCGGGGTGGCAACAGCCGGAGAGGGGCCACAAGTAAGCCTAGGAGGGTCCCGTACCAATGGTGCTGGGACCAAGCTGGGGCGATCAGGACGCGCGCCTTGTCCGTTTTCACTTTCTCCAGGACCTTGGCAATGAGGGGAAACGGGGGAAAGGCGTAAAGGAGTTGACCCAACCATGACAGGAGGAAGGTGGCTGAGATTGCGTTCCTCCCCACCCCACCCTTCTGGAACAGAACCTGTGGCAACGGCGGTTCTGTCGGGTCACAAAGAGATTTACTTGGGGAGTGCCCCACACTCGGAAGAGCTGGTGAGTGATCTCCAAGTGGAATGACCACTCGTGTTGGGAGGAGAAAACCCTGCTCAAGCTCAAGTCAACCCTGTGTGTTGTTGACGCCTGGCAGGTGAAAAGCCTTCAGGGAGATGTTGTGGGCTATACAGAACTCCCAGAGGCTGAGGGCTTCCAGGCAGAGGGCCGAGGACATTGTCCCACCTTGCCTGTTGATGTAAAACATTGCGGCGGTGTTGTCCGTGAGTACTCTGACCACCTTGCCACGCAGCTGTGAGCTGAATGCCACGCAGGCTAAGTGTATTGCCCGGAGTTCCCTGACGTTTATGTGAAGGGACAGCTCCGCGGCTAACCACATCCCTTGGGTCTGTGAGTTCCCTATGTGGGCCCCCCAGCCCAGGTCCAACGCGTCGGACACTAGGTCTAATGATGGGGTCAGGTCCCGGAAGGGAATTCCCTGGAGCATATTGCCCGGGCAGGACCACTATTGTAACGTGGTGATTACCCGTGCTGGTACCGAGAGGACTTTGTCCCGGGCATGGGAGAACTCTGAGACCAACCAACCAGAGTTGGAGGGGCCTCATCCGAAGTCTGGCGTGGCAGACCACGTACGTGCACGCCGCATGTGGCCCAGGAGCCGCAGGTATGCCCTGGCCATGGTAACAGGGAACTCCGTGACCGAGGCTATAAGTGCCTTCAGGGCCTGGAACCTGTCCAGGGGAAGGGAGACTGTGGCCTTGGAGGCATCCAGGAGGGTGCCTATGAATTCTATGTACTGTACCAGGACCAGCGTCAACTTGGCCTCGTTTACTAGAAGGCCTAAGTTTACTAGAAGGCCTCGTTTACTAAAAGGCCTAAGTTGGCACACATGGCCAAGAGCAGGTCCCCGTGGTTCTGTACCTGGGACAACTGCCCTTGAGCAGCCAGTTGTCGAAGTAGGGGAATATCTGTACCCCTCGGCGACTGAGGTAGGCCACCACTACCGCGTACACTTTGTGAATACCCTGGGCGTGGTGGACAGGTCAAAGGGGAGGACCGTAAATTGGTAGTGTTCCTGCCCCACCAGAAATATATGGATATGGAAGTATGCGTCCTGAAGGTCCGGTCGCCAGAGCGGGTATGATGCATGCTAGAGAGACCATGCGGAATAGGCATTTTGCCATGAAGTGATTGAGGCCTCACAGATCCAGGATGGGTCTGAGCCCCCCTTTCGCTTTGGGGATCAGGAAATAACGGGAGTAAAACCCTTTTCCCTGGAATTCCCACGGAACCTTCTCCATGGCTCCCAAGCTGAGGAGCCGACTCATTTCCTGCTGTAGCATGAGTAAATGCAACGGGTCCCCCCTGCCATCGGGGGGAGGGAGGGCGGGGGCGAGACAAATTGCAGCTGGAAATGGTGTTGAGGACCCACGGGTCTGATGTTATCCGGGACCATTCTGTAAGGAACGCAGACAAGCGGTTGCTGAAAGCAAACTTTATTGGTAGGAGGGTCCTCGGGGATCCCCCGGGTACCCTCCTGCAACCAGTCAAAACTGTCTCTTGCCCTGCTGCTTGCCCCTGGAGGGCCCAGGCTGCGGAGCAGAGCGAGACTGCCTCTGAGGTCACCTCTTTTGGGTTTTGGACCTCTTGTAGGCAGGCTCGTATCTCGGCTGGGGCGCAGGGTCGGAGGCTTGCGTCTTAGGCTTTTCCTTGGACAGGACACAGAGCCCGAGGATCTGAAGGGTGGTACGGGAGTCCTTCATGCCATGGAGCCTCACGTCTGTTTGTTCCGCGAACAGGTCCTTGCCGGCAAAGGGAAGATCCTGCATCACAGACTGCGCCTCCGTGGAGAGCCTGGACAGCAGTAGCCACGATGCCCCACGCATGGACATGGCTGAGGCCATGGAGCGAGCAGCTGTGTCGGCTGCATCCGATGCCGCCTGCAGAGCAGCTTTTGCGGTGACGGCGCCCTCCTCCACCAGCGCCTTAAAATCCTTCCTTTCAGGCTCCGGAAGGGAGGGCTCAAATTTCGGCAGTGACCCCCACAAGGTTAAACTCATATCGACTGAGGGGGGTCTGGTGGTTGGCCACCCGGAGTTGGAAGCTGGTGGACGAATAAAGCTTCCTGCTAAATGACTCCAGTCTTTTGGAGTCTTTATTCTTGGGTGCGGGTCCTGGTTGGCCTTGCCTTTCCCTGTGATTTACAGACTCTACCTCTAGGGAGTTGGGGGCCGGGTGGGTATAAAGGTATTTGTGCCCTTTCGTGGGCACGAAGTATTTGTGCTCCGCCTTTTTCGATATTGGAGCAAGGGAGGTCGGCGTTCGCCAGAGGGCACTGGAGATGTTAGCCACCCCCTTGTGGAGCAGGAGGGCCACTCTGCCCGGTGCCGAGGATGAGAGTACATTGAACAGCGAGTCTGAGGATCCCTCCATCTCCTCAGCTTGGGGATGGAGATTGGATGCTACTCGCTTTAGTAGCTCCTGATGAACCCTGAAGTTCTCTTGCGGTACGGAGGGGGGCGGGGCTGCGATCTTGTCATCAGGTGCGGGGGAGGGGACAGGTACCGAACTTTGCAAGTTGGCCGGTGCCAAGGGATCCACCCCCTGATCGGACTCCTCGTGCGGTGCCGAGGAACTTTGACCTGCAAATCTATCCCTTGGAGGTCTAGATAGCACAGCTGAAGGAGCCTCTGATGCACCTGCTATCGACTGAGGGCCTTGCTGGGCGTGCATGGGGGGACGAGGGGGTCCACTGGCACCACTGGCTTTGCCACGGGGGCCCTTGCCATTGACTCTGGCGCGGCACCGGTGGCACCAGCTGGTCGGGTTAGCTCGGCTGGTTCATAGGGCGCTGCGTGTAGATCGAGGTCAGGGTTACCAATGACCTATCGGTGCCGTGTGAGCGGTACGCGCGGTGGTGCCAAGAACGTCTGCCCCGGGACCGGAACTCCGACGTCGTCGAGCTGCTACTCTTCGAGACGTTTCGACGCCTGGATCGGCGATTACGCGGAGGTGGCGATCCCCACCGGGAGTCCTGGGCACGGTGCCTCGACGCACGGGAGCCGGAGCGTGATCGGCAATGGTGTCCGTTCTGGGAGCAGCTCCGGTAGCTCCGCCGAGAGTGGGAGCGTCTATGGCGTTGGGGCCTGTCCTGCCGATACTCTGTATTCAGCATGGAGCGGTGCCTGGAACTCTGCTCCGACGGCACCTGACCAGACAACCTAGAGAGCGACGAGAGCAGAGGCTGGAGGCTGTGTCCCAACAGGACACTGAGCGGCGAGCGGACCCGAGAGCGCTCCCCTGATCGGGATCTGCGTCAGGTCGGCGGTCGAGAGCCCAGTGGCGGCTTGCCTCTACAGCGGGGTCTGGGTGCCGGCGGTGCCCTGGGCACCTGCAGAGTCAGAATGTCATTGGCCGCCTGCAGGGCCTCCGGTGTCGAAGGCATGTGGACTTCAGCCAGAGAGGCCTGAGTCAACGCAACTGGGCTGCTCCGCTCGTCATGAGTCGGAGCTTCAGAAACCAGGGGAGAACTGGGGCTGCCCGACCCAGGTCTAGCCTCACCCCGTGCCTTCTCTCTGAGAAGACAGAGCCTTCCTCTGCTTTTTCGATGGGGAACGGTCCCTGGCCACCCGAAGGTGCCGGGAGATCGCCGCGCGCCAAAGACAAAGTGTCCGGTGCCAATTCCACTCGGCATACCAGGGTTGGAGCCAGTGCCGACTCCATGAGAAGAGCCCAAAGTCTAATGTCTCCCTTTTTTTTCGTCCTGGGTTTAAAGGACCTACAGATCTTGCAGCGGTTGCTGATGTGAGTTTCGCCCAGATAGAGGAGACAGTCTGTGTGCGGGTCACTTCTGGGCATTGAGCACCTGCAAGACTCGCATGATTTAAACCCTGGGGCCCAGGGGCATGCCCCGGCCCAAAAACTAGCTAACTAAACTGGAACTTTTAATAAACTAACTAATACAGGTACTACTAACAATGAACAAGTTCTGGGATGAGCTGCAGCAAAGCTGGAGCGAGTAGTTTTGATGCACCGTCACTGGCGGCAAGAAGGAACTGAGGGTGGGGGGAGCGCACGGCTCCCCTTATAGTGCATTATAGAGGCGCCACTCCAGGGGTCGCAGCAGCACTCCCCCTACGGGTACTGCTGAGGAAAGGACTTCCGGCACCAGTGCACGTGGCGAGCACGCAGCTACTGTGGAATACACATGAGCAAGCACTCGAAGAACTATACAGTACAGACCCGTTTATGCGTCGATGTCAGGAATCAAGCCATCATGACCGCAAGTTAACGGACCACGGGTTAAGAGGGCCATGCTGAAAAAAGTGTCTATGATTCACTTAGAAAAAAACGCAGTTATTTTCTGCTCTTTCTGGCTCGCATTTTTTTTTCTTTCTTATGAAGTTTAATGCCCTAATACAAACCAGTCATTAATATACAGTATGCTAGAAAAGAATAAGAAATGCAACCTATTAACATTTTAACTCATCGGGAAACACGTTCGTGGCCGATTCATCAGCTTTCTCCAGAAATCTATACTTGCGCTACGCCTTGACGCTTTTTACAACGACTTATAAACCCCTTGCTGGCTTGGAATGATTCATCCCCCCTTAAATTTCCAAATTTTGTCGCTTGGGCTTGAAGAATTGGTCCACTTAGCGGCATTCCTTTTCAGCCTTTCCTGAGCAAACCATGTGCGCATGGCTTTGTCTATTGTGAGTTTTGCTGAATGGCGCACACATTTTCGCTTAAGCCCCGTGGCAGAATCGATATTTTGTACAAAGCCATCCTCGGAGAGTAGATTCGGCAATCCCAATATCTTTTGAAACTTTGATCTGGGTTTCTCTGCTATTTACTCAATCTATTGCAGCTAGCTTTTCTTCTACAGTGTAGGAACACTGACGCTTGCCCTCTGCCATTATATTAGGCCTACAGTTAAAATTTTCTAATGTAGTATATATATATTACTATATAACTACTATATATTATAGATCTCTCTAGCGTGACAATGACTAAGCGTGCATGATACGTCTTCACTAATATCGGTAAAGACATACAACACATTTCCGCTCCGCACTTCCTGTCAATTTCTATGTCAGTGAGTCAGTGAGCAAATCTGTAGCGCGACATAGCAAGTTTCTGTACTGTGTGTTAACGAGTCTCACGTGTTAAATAGGTAGAACTGGGAGGCATGGTGCTACCGGGCTTTAAGCGGATTTGCGCATAAACAGGTCTGTTGTGTATAAAGACTGCCAAATTATCACAACAAGAGCAAGGGGAAGTTCCAGCTGTCTCTGGCAGTAAGAAGGAACTGAGGGGATGGCAGGTCGGTAAGATCCTATATTGAGTGCCATGATGGCGCCACGCCAGGGGGTGTCTGTACCGACCTGACGGATACTGCTAGGGGAAAAATTTTCCAGGTGCCGTGCACTCACGCTCGCACACCGAATTGGAATTGACATGAACAAGCACTCGAAGAACTTATTGTTTTGTTACACTTTCATTTATAAGTGGTTCTGTTCTTAAATGTAACAAGGAAAAATATTGCAGATGATATTTCCACAGCTAAATATGTAAACACAGTTAATACAAGCAAAACAAATCACAGATACTGCCTGATAGCAAAATGATCCTGTCCTGGATACACTGAACAGCAAAATCCAGTCTTGAAAATTTAATATATTTTACGTTACATTTTAAAACCTTCTTGAATAGTGTTGAAAAATACAAACCTAGAAGAATTTAAATGTACTTGGACATTTTTTTTATTTTTAAATATATATGTGTGTGTGTGCGTGTGTATATATATATACACACACACATTACTACTTATCAGTTTTTAAAGTTTTTTTAAATGATTTTTCTCTAGCATAATTATACAAAATATATTTAATTTTTTTCAGAAAAGCCAAAAGAGTATATTTTATGTTTTAATATCCAGTAGTTGGCAGTTTAAAAATAAGTTAATCAAAATGAACATTTTCATTAAATTTTTTCCAGTGAACCAGACTGGATATATATATTTTTAACTAAATTGTAGTTTTACTAAAATTACACACTTCATTTACATTTTCCTTACACAAATTATTTCTCTATAAAATATAAAGGAACTCTCTCCTGTATTAGAAATATCCTTCAATTGAATTCTCTTAACCTGCAATAAGAAGAAAGTATGAGTTTGTCTACACAGGCTGTGGAGTGAAGTGCATTAGGGAAATTTTAGTATGTACCAGCAGGGTATAAACAGACCAATTAGTGTGCTTTAGAAATCCGACCCCTACAGCGCACACCATGTGTGTAAACAAGCCCTTAGTAATCTTACAGACATATAAATTATATACATTTCTACTATAAAAACCTGAACATTAGGGATAGCATATTAATGTGTCAAAGGTATTTATTAATTTTAGTCTTCTTCCTCTTCTTGATGTTTACGTTGAAAATTCAGCGTTGTTTGTCCTCTTTCAGGGTCTTGCATTCGGAGGATCCGAATAAGGCCACTCGTGGGTAGGGAACTAGAAACAAAACACACAATTTAAATAATGACCCTTGTGAATGAGTTAATGTTTCTGCCAATTCGACTCTCCATTACCTGTTTGCCTTATATGACAGCAATTTTTCTTTGATCATATAAAACAGTAACATGGAGTGAAATTCTGGCCTTACTGAAGTGAATAGCCAAGTTTCCACAGACTTCAATATGTCCATAACGTTAACCCATGGCCTTTACCTTGAGCTGTGAACTCTATAATAGTTTATGCAACAATTAATACCATTTTTATTCCAACCCCAAAATTTTAAAATCTAGACTGTATAAATTATATAAATGGAATTTTAAACTAAAAGAACAAACTCCAAGAGAAATAAAATTAGTGCTCAAACACCCCTTAAAGTTTACATTTACCTTAGATCCTGATGCTGCAAACGCTCACTCACACAACTCAACCTAAGTGCAGTTATGCACATATGTGAATGCAGCATCCAGGCTTTAAATTGTGGGCTAGAGGCTGTTCCAACAAAATAGCTTAATTGTACTTTCTTTGTACTTTTGTTTCCATTATATTAGTGTTCTTCCATATTAATACTGCAATTAAATGCATATACTTTAACAAAATGTAAAATCAGACTTCATAATACTTCACTTAAATGTATGAAACAGTACCTAGAATAATACAATCAAATGGTGAATTCCTAACTAAATATAGCTTCATAAATTACTCAGAAAGGTATTTGCTTTTTTAAAATATTAAGACAGAATATAATTCTATTCTCCTCCTAAATTAATACCAAGACATATATAAAACATAAATTTCAATGTAAAGGCTTTAATTCCATCCATATCTTCTGGTGACTTCTTGAGGGTTCACATTCCATATTCAAAAAAGTTATTAGCATTGTAAAATGCCCTTATTAATACTAACTTTGACTTTTTATGATGTGATTTTACTTATTCTAAATACTGATTATGCATGGGAAAGAAGAGTCCCCTGTATTTATGGAAAAAACCCACAAACCAATCACAAACCTTCCCTGTATGTCGACATTTTTCTTATAGCTACCTAGTTTGATTAGATTAAGTTTGTGATCTCTTTTAGATATACACTACCGTATTTCCTTTTCCTGGGTTATAACATTACTAGGTGACCTTACACTAAATTATCTTGAGCTGGGTTTGTGGGGACTTTAATTATATTCTTAAATCCTAAATGTCTTTTAAAAAACAAAAACAACTACAGCAAACTTGCTCTGTGTTCCACCTCAGGCACATTCTTGTGATAAAAACATTCCCTGTTTTTTCTGAGCTATGTAACTTTTATTTCTGCTCACATTATTCAGAGCGACAGACACTAAGACTGGCATCAATTGTATTTCATATCATATCTACTCTCCATTTCCCGAAGTAGGAATTTTTTTTTTTTAAATTACCATGTCCAGTATATATTTAATCATTAGTTTTCCAGTGACCCAAGTATGCTATCCTCATCTTCAGGGACAGATTGTACCTCACCTCACATAGCTGCATAGATTACGGGGAGATGGTGCAAGCAGTATTCCACACCTGTCTCTTGGGTCCTTGCAAAAGGGCCAGGCACAAAACCAGGTCCCCATGGTTCATGAACATAAGGAGCAGACATCTTTATTGGCACCAGTGTGGCTAGTAACCACCAAATAAGGAGGGGCTTGTAGTCAATCTACCCTCCTGACTGATCTGATTGAAGCCAGGAGGGTGCTCTAATAGAAAACTCAAAAGGGCCTTCTAGATATTTAATGAGAATCAAGCTCAAACCTACAGACTCTAAGAGGTGGAGATACAACAGCCACTCTTTCCTAAACGATTTTACATAAGGATGCATGGAAACAGATCACTGTTGACTCACTTAGACATAACAGCATTTCTGAGACACTGTGGCACAAAAATAATCAGTAATTCCTGGCCATCAAACTGTATAGTACTCCTGGGGGCATTCTGCACCAAAATATTAAAAATTCTGCGCACAATATTTTAAAATTCTGCAAATTGCATTTGTCAAGATAACGCTACATAATCACACCAGTTTCAATTATTTTGGTAATTTATTTCAAAGTACCTGTCAGCAAATATGTTTGTAACAATACAGAGAGACACAAAATTTCCCCCAGGAGTAGAAAGTTAATGAAACCCCTATGACAACCCAGTTCCTGTTTCTCTGGCCCCATCTCCCCTCAGAGCCCAGCCGGAGGGCCAGACACCCACAACCCTT